TACCAAAGTGGAGGGAAATACCGCAATTTGTAAAACACTTCTAGGTCTGTTCCATGGTTTCAGTCTTGGGAGCTGCTCACTGGAGGAGAGGGGCTTGTTACTGATCTCATTTTACCGACAGATAGCCGCCAGGTCCGTGATAGGTTTATCGTTAGGATTAATGTCTCTCAACAAACTACTGCCTTTGAATCGCTTCCGACTCATGGCCAGGCACACATTTCGGAGTGAAGTTGTGCTCCATGGGGTTTCCAATAGCCGTGGCTTTTCGGAGGCAGATCCCCAGGAGCCTCTGGTGGATTTGAACTGCCAAGCTTTCAATCAGCAGCCCAGTGCTTAACAGTCTGCTTCACCCAGGGACGCCTTCACTCAATAAGCAATGCTCTAGTACAACTGGCTATGAATGTCCCCCAGCCCCAGAATCCTTCCAGCTTACTGCTCTGTTATCCTGAGCATGTAGCTTTTGTCCTCATGCTTATAAAATGGGTGCTGAAGCCCCAAGCATCTCCTCCATGTTCCAGGTAGGGAGGAGGTAGGTGGAAGGGTGAAGAACTAAAATCAAAAGGTCAAGTGTAGCCCTTTAAAAAAATTCTCCTGGAGGCCCCTGTAAGTCCTGCTGACATCTCTGGCCAGAACCAAGTGTCCTGCCCATCCTTGGCTGCAAGCCTGGGGAGGGGAGAATTGGTACATTGCTGCTTGGTTCAAAACTGGAGTTTTGTCATCAAGAAGAAGAGAAGAACACATGTTAGGGAGGGTAACCTACATAGTCAGCCATTTAAAACAAAAACCCAATGCCATGGAGTCAGTTTGGATGTATAGCCACCCCATAGAACAGAATAGAACTAAACTCACTGTCATCGAGTTGATTTGACTCATAGCAGCCCCTCCTTGAGTTTCCAAGGCAGTATCTCTATGGAAGTAGATTGCCCAATCTTCCTTCCAAGGAATGGCTGATGAGTTTGAACCACCAGCCTTCTGGTTAGCAGTCAAGTGCCTTAGGTATGCTTCTGTAAATATTATGGCCTTGGAAATGCTATGGAGCAGAATAGAACTGCTCCATAGCATTTCCAAGGCCATAATATTTATGGAAGTGGACTGCCCTATCTTCCTGCCATGATGCAGCTGGTAGATTTGAACTGCTGATGTTAAAGTTAGCAACTGAATCCTCAACCATTGTGCTATCAGGGCTCGTTTAGTCTATAAAAAAAGCTCCCAAGCCATACTGACAGCGCAATAGATGAAAGACTGGAGGCATGGTTAGTGGTAGTGCTGTTTTACCTGTTTGAAGGTGGTGTAGACTGTGGATCTTAAAGCATCTCCTCTAAACCAAACCCTTCCTGTGCAGTGCCAGTCTCCCCACTGACAGCCAGCAGTCTGACTGGGAGACAGTTACTTGTAATCATGGGACATGCTACAGAGAAGAGAGCAAATGACCACATGTCCTCTGAGCAGTGGGTGTTAGAACAGGCTTCCCCAAGAAAATGATGTTTGTGTGAGGCTTTCTCAGCCTGACACACCTGCCTGCAGACACACACACCCCTGCAGGGTGGGCACAGATGCACATGGCAGAAAGGAGTAGGTTATATTTCTCTACTCTGTACACCAGCGTGTCCCAGGGTGTGATCCATGGATTGCATGTCCTTGGAAATGCTGGAGAGAAAAAGTGACCTGCAGTCAAAGACATACGGATGCTGGCTACCCACATCCCCTTTGGCCATGTGCACTGCCTATTAAAAGTTTGCTTAACCCTTTCTTGGCATAACACCTGCCACACATTGTAAAACAGACAGCTGAAGAGCACAGGCTTTGCACTCTGACTGTTCTCAAGTTCAGTCCTGCTCCAGCGTTCTGGCTGTGTGACCTTGGGCAAGTTGCTTAACTTCTCTTGGCCTCAGCATCCTCAGCTGAAAATGTGGACAGTAGTTCCCTCCTGGGGCCATTGTGTGGATGCTGCGTGAGAACATGCTTCATATCCACATTAAGACCCTCTGCTACACGTAGTGGGAGTCCCCTTTCTGCCTGAGGCATGTTCCAAACTCGACCCTCTGGACACTAAAAGACCCCAGGGTAGAGGCAGTACTCTCATGGAGGCTCAGAGGGGCTGGGGAAGGACTGAGCTTGGGCTTGAACCCCGAAGGCCACAGGCCAGTGGAGAACACTGCCTGGCTGGGGTGGACATCTATTTTTAGGGGGAGCTATGTGGTCAGCTGGGGAGATGGGGCCGTTGAGACAGAAGAGACAATAGGGACTGTGGGGCCCACAAAGGGCTATTGTTCCTGCCGTGGGCCAGGCCTCAGTGGGGGCTGGTCCATTGCTCCATCCCGGAGTATTCTTCCAGTGTTGGCTCTGGATGGTGAGGGGAGGTGAGAGGGGGCGGGAGACAGGGAGGGCTCTGTGTCCCAGGGGCCTCATTTAGTGATAAGCCAGATGCCTGCCAGGACCTCTGTGCTGGGGTAGCCGTGCCTTTGTTCTCTGAGGAGGGGCACAGGCTGCCCACTCTCGGCCCTGTTTACACCCTTGTGAATCCTGAGCCCTCCCTGTGATGTTAGGATTACTCTCCCCATTTCACAGGCACAGTGGGGGCTGGGACTTTTCAGAAGCAGATTGGCAGGCCTTTCCTCTGAGGCACCTCTGGCTGGGTTCAAACTGCCAGCCTTTCAGTTAGTAGCTGAGCACCTGACCGTTTGCACCACCTGGGGACTCCAGTACCAAATCCATTGCTGTCAAGTCAGTTCTGACTCACAGCGACCCTGTTGGACAGAGAACTGTTCCATACGGTTTGCAAGGCTGTAATCTTTTTTTTTTTTTTTTGGTCCACACCAACCAAAGTTTACTAAAGAGAGAGGAGAGGGAAGAGGGCTTGTGAGGGAGACAGAGGGGCTCTCGCGATGCTTAGCCTCCAGTGTCTCCAAGGCTGTCATCTTTACAAACAGACTGGTGCAACAAACTGCCGCATCTTTGTCCTGCCAAGCAGCCGGTGGGTTCAGACCACCAACCTTGCAGTTAGCAGCTGAGCACTTAACCACTGCACCAGCAGAGCTCTTTTAGGGACTTCAGTCATAGGTACTGAATAAATGTTTGTTCAGTCAAACGGAACGGATCTGAGTTTTCATAGGTGAGAAGCAGCAGAGATAGGTTCTATCCCTGGTCTTTGTTCACAGTTCTTGCTGCATCTCACTGCCTAGAACTAATTGTTCCCAGCCCCAGAGCAGCTGAGGGACTGGGCACAGTCCCAGTATCCCCGGAAAGTAGCCAGGTGCTGGGCTGGTTCCAGTGAGTCAGTGAGAACTGGACAGGTAAGCAAGAGCTGGGGCTGGTCTCTGTACAGATGAGAGCTGAGTGGACAGGCAGGGGCGGGGCCGGTCCCCATGTACAGATGAGAGTAGGTGGGTAGGCAGGTGCTGGGGCTGGTCCCAATGTGTTGATGAGAGCTGAGCAGGTGGGCAGGAACTAGGAGTGGTGCCATGTACGGATGAGAGCTGGGCAGGTAGACAGGTCCTGGGGCTGGTCCCTGTGTGCAGATGAGAACCAGGCAGATAGGCAGTGCTGGGGCTTGGGCCCCTTGTACAGATGAGAGCTGGGCAGGGAAGGTACTCACCCAAGTCCACGGGCTGCTGTGGCCCAGCCCTTCTCCTCCAGTGTGAGACTATGAGCGCTGACTTTTCTCCCTCCTTAAACATGGCAGCGACCCATGTGACTCTCACTGAGGCTGGCTTCTGGGAGCTGGCTCACCAGCTTCCGGAGTGTTACGTATTCCACTTGGATGCATCATTTACTGTTTGGAAGAGAAATGCCACATGCTAACCCAAGGTGGCCTTCTGAGGTGTGAATGGTTTGGTTTGACTTGTGGAGCCTCTCAGAGTGTGAGTAAGAAGAGGGTGTGGGGACCGTGGAGACAGACAGGCTGGGTGGCTGCTGCCTCCACCACTTCCCAATTGGGGGACCTAAGACATTTGTTGCTGTGGAGTCAACTCCAACTCCCAGTGCCACCGTGGTCAGAACTGTCCTCTGTCAGGTTTTTAGTAGCTGCATTTTTGAAAGTAGATTGCAGGTCTTTCTTCCCAGGTACCTCTGGGAGGATCTGAACCCCACCCCGCTCGGTTAACAGCCAAACTTGTTAAGCATTTGCACCGCCTGGGAACTCTGGGATTCTTCTGGTCAGAAGTGGCATGGCTATTCGTTGGTCCACATAACTAAAAAATCCCAGGTGGTGGATGCCAGCACCAAGACCTCTTTTCCATCTCTGGGCTGGTTGTATTTTCAGACAGGCTCTTGCCTTGTGGGCACTGTATGGCTGCTGCACACCCAGTCCTCCCAGCCTGGCTAGGGCAAAGTGTAGTCTTCTCAATAGCTAGAAGGGCATCTGGTTGGCACTGATGGGTGTAACTCAACTCATGTGCCCTCCCCTGAGCCAGTCATTGGCAGCTGACTGAGGAGGTGAGATGCCCTGATTGGCCTTGGCCTGAGAAACATGATAGAGGAATTGTGTCAACAGATCTGTTGGACTGAGAGTGGCAGTGAGGTGGACTTCTCAAGGACATAAGGGATGTTCTTGGAACATTCTGGGCAGCCAGGGTCCATCACAGGTATGACCACCTGTGGGACAAGTGAGGCCCAGGGCAGGTAATCAAGGAAGCACATACTTTGGTGGTCTTGCATTTTCCAGATGGAGAAAACAAGGTCTGGCGCAGGGAGGGCTCCTGGTGCCGGTGCCTTCCTGAGTTTTGTATAGTTAGTGGTGTAGTCTGAATGAGGATCCTGTCCTCTGCTTCCTGACTGAGCTCTGCTTCCCCTACCCTCCCTTGTTCTGGGAGCTCCTGGGAGTGGTCAACTGCCAGAGAATTCTCCTCCTTACATCTGAGGTCTCACAGTCAAATGAGAAGGGTACTCAGAGTTTCCTCAAAGCCCAACTGAAGCATGTTGGGTGTCTACAGGAAATCCATGTAGCTTTCCAATGTTGCGGATTCTGCTTGACCAGCCTCCATCTGCCCATCTTTCTTCAGGAGCAGGACATTGAAACGTTACATGGCTCCATTCACGTCACACTGTGTGGAACTCCCAAGGGGAACCGGCCCGTCATCCTCACATACCACGACATTGGCATGAACCGTAAGTTCTCAGGAGACATTGTCCCTGGCCAGCAGCTTCTACTGAGGTGGGTGGAGGAGGGCAGGGAGAGAGGTGGTGGCAGGGAGGAGGCCCGCTGTTTCTCTCTTCTGGGACATCCTGAAGCTGTACTTCTGGGAAGAATCTTGACCACAGACTGGAAGAGACTGGAATGCAATGCCTGGGAGGCTTGGAGCTGTCTGTGCTCAGAAGCTTCTAGACACAGGGAGCCTCCTTCCACCCCCACTGTCTGTCCCTATGACAGAGTTGTTTTTTTCTTTAATGAAAGAGTACAACTCAGTGGTCTGTAGTGTGTTTACAGATTGTGCCACGTCGCCACCATCAGTTTTAGAATGTTTGCATCACCTAAGAAGGAAATCCTGGACCATTTAGCAATCAGCCCTCCCACCCCTGGAGCCACTAATCTCCTTTCTGTCTCTAAGACAGAAAGCCTGTTCAGCTGTTTCATACAAGTGAGGTCATCCACTGGTGGCCTTTTGTGACTGACTTTTTTCTTAATCTTTCCAACATTTATCCACATTGAGCAAGTTTCAGTACTTCAGTCCACTGTTGGCAAATCGTCTTGCCACGTGTGGATGGACCACACTGTGTCTAGCCTTTCAGCAGCTGACAGACATTTGGATTATTTCCACGTTTTGTTTCTTATGAATAAGGCTGCTAGGAACGTTGGGAGAGTGAATTTTGAAGATTACCAAGAAGTTTTACCATATCTTCACTCCCCATTTTCAAACCAAAAACCAAACCTATTGCTGTTCATTCTGACTCATAGACACCTTTTAAGGCAGAATTGGACAGCCCCATAGGCTGTAATCTTTATGTAAGCAGATGCCACATCTTTCTCCTGCAGAGCGGCTGGTGGGTTCAAAGCACTGACCTTCCAGTTAGCTGAGTGCTTAGCCACTGTACCATGATCTCTGTACTGTCAGATTGCATGGAACAAGCTGGCTCTTGGTGTGAAAATATTGCTCTTCCTAGTGGCCACAAGGTTCACTCTCTGTGAACTTGAGTATTGTAAGCTGAATGTCTCCTTAATTTTTGGTCAATGAGTTGCCTGATTCACACTTTTTTCCTGCAGTTTAGTCACACCTGGAGATTGGGGCTAATGCCCATGGCTGAAAATCACTTCGCTCCTTCCTTCTTTTTTTTATTTTTTTCACTTTTCCCACATCTCTGTCTTGTACCCATTATGTACCAGTTCCCATACCAGGTACTTTGAAACACATCTTATTTCATTGGCCTATGACAAAGAAATGGAATGCCTTATGGTGGTGTCTCTCCTGCATTTTAGAGGGGCACATTGCTGCCTAGAGTAGGCTAACTGCTGTAATGAAAGACCCCCAAGACTTCTGTGGCGTAACATGACGTGGGTCTATTTCTCACTCCTGTAACAACTCAGTGGGGTTTTAGGGCAGACACTGCAGGGACCACTGGAAGCACCCAGGCCCCTTCTGTCTATGACTTCACCACTTTCTGGTACTCAGAGGCCACATCCACAGAGAGAAAGGAGACCTAGAGGACTGGGTAACAGGCTCAGAAAGGATAACCATCACCTGCTATGGGCCCAGCTGGTCACATGGCTGCATCTAACCGCAAGGAATGCTGTGAAATGCCACCCAGCCATGTGCCCAGGAGGAAAGAGAAGTGGTTGCATGACCTTGCTGCAAACCATTAATCATTTGTCCTTGACTCCAATTTGTGCCAACCCTATATGTGTCAGAATAGAACCACAGGGTTTTCGACAGTGACCATTTTTCTGAATGTACCAGGCCTTTCTTCTGAGGCAACTGGTGGCCTTGACCACCACCTTTTTGTTTAGCCCCCAGGGACTCTTTCCTTACCTTCCTCTGAAGACTCTCTCAAGGCCTTAGCAGTTAAGAGACTGTCAAGGCCGCATAATCAGTGGCTTTACCTGCTGTGCTTCTCCCTGTTCACAAACTGTGAGTGCCCTGGATAGGATTCAGATGTGAGGGCTCAGGGGGCCCACCTCGCACCAGGGCCAACATGGCCAGAATTGACGAGAAGAAGCTGGGCCCAGAGCAGGAACTCCTTGCAGCAGCCCCAGAAGTCTAAGGCCTGTTCCCTAGCTGTATGGTGGCATCCCCTGACCATCTTTACCACCACAACCACTCAGTACCGTGACTTAGTCCCATCTCTCATCACCTGAGGAGAGTGCGACAGGGCAAGAAAGGTCCCACGTTCTTTCCTGTCCATTCCTTCCCTCCGGCTGAGTGGCAGTGAATCCACAGGATGAATATCCCTGCTCCCAAGTAACCCCATGTCTTCTCTCTTTGTCTTGTCCTCATCAGACAAAACCTGCTACAACCCGCTCTTCAACTCCGAGGACATGCAAGAGATCACCCAGCACTTTGCTGTGTGTCACGTGGATGCCCCCGGCCAGCAGGACGGTGCTGCCTCCTTCCCCGTGGGGTATGAGGGGGGCCCCTGGATCCCCCTGAGAAAGAGGGGAAATCCTAGTAGCATGGGACCCAGGGAGGCACTAGACTCACTTTTTTGGTGGTAAAATATATATAATAAAACATTTGCTAGTGTAATGCTTTTTATATGTACAATTCAGGGATATTAAGTGTCTATATCTGGTGGTATAGTGCCTAAGGCATTTGACTGCTAACCAGAAGGCTGGCGGTTCAAACCCACTAGCCCATCCTGGGAAAGAAGACTGGGCAATTTCCTTCCGCAGAGATACTGCCTGGGAAACCCAAGGAGGGGTTGCTATGGGTTGGATCGATAGACTCAATGGCAGTGAGTTTGGGTTTTTTTTTGGGGGGGTGGGTATCAAGTTGCGTGGCCAGCCCTATTCTCCATTTGCTGCACACTTAACTCTCACAGCTAATTCTGTGTGGCTCGTGTCGTCAGCACCATTGTCTCGATTGAGAAACTGAGGCATGGGGTGGTTAAATACACAGCTGGGAAGAGGGAGCTGGGATTGGCCCTGGTCTACTGACCCCAGGTCTGTTCTCTTTGCAACATCAGGCTGCCTTATCCCTGAGTGTTTCACTCCTGTCCCTCATCGGTGTGAGGCCAGTGTGGCTTGTCAGTTGTCTGTCATGAGTGTGGAGTCACTGATCAATCAATGTCATAAGACACGAGGTGTCAGAGTAGAACTGTGCTCCGTTGGCTTTTCAGCAGCTGAGTTTTCAGTAGATCAAGCCTTTCTTCCAAGGTGCCTCTGGGTGGACTTGACCTTCCAACCTTTCAGTTAGCAGCCGAGTGTGCTCGCCATCTGCACCCCCAGGAAGTTCTGAGTTCCACTCCCTTATTTCCCTCCTTACTGGCTTTCCTGCACTGGACTCTGTCTGCTTTGCTCCACCATCTCAGATGCTGACATGTGCATGTGATCAATAACTAATTATCAACTTAATTCATGCATGCTGTTCTAATTCCTCCTCCCTGAGGCTGGAATGGTGAAATGCCTTCTCATCTGTGTCCTTCCTTGCTCCTTTTGTTTATTTTTAACACTATCCTGGACCCAAAACCAAGCCAATGGAGAGAGGACCACTGTTTCTGGCCAATCATGTCTAGTTTGTGTAGTATCTTGGCAACTCTTCCCAGCGATGCAGCCCTTGAGGATTATGGGATGCTTGGGGGAGTTTACCACTTACCTAGCATGCCTTGTGGCCCTGCTTCAACACAACGGAATCAGGCTCTGGTTACGGCTGAGGACCTGGGCACAAGGACAATGCTTTGGGTTCCTTGTGAGGAGACAGGAAAGAAAACGGGTGGGAACCCTGCTTTGGCCTTCTTTCTGGAAATTTCCAGTGCAGTGAGTGCACCCTGAGGAGGCAGGGGACAGCATGCATGGAAGGGAAGGGAGAAGCATTGCCCACAGGGCTCTGACAGAGAAGCCTGGTTTCAGAGAGACGTGGGGAGGCTGCTTGGCAGAAGTGGTGGTTGCTGAGACACTGGGAATGGAGGTAGTCTGGGAAAGGGGCTTAGTGGGGTGCCAAGGGTGTGAGACTGATACCCCACCTGGAGAGGTGGGCACAGATGGTGGGAGCGAGAAACCCCTCTGTGTGCTGCCAAGGACTTGGTGATGTTGTTTGGTGACACTGAGTTGATTCCAATGCACAGTGACCCTACAGGACAGAGGAGAACTGCCCCTCAGGGATTCCTAGGCTGTAATCTTTATGGGAACAGATGACCAGGTCTTTTCTTCCTTGGTGATGGATTTGACCCACCAGTTTTTCAGTTAGGTACCGAACGCCTGACCATGACACTACCCAGGCTCCTCAGACTTGGCAGTAGGAGACTGTTGTTTTCTGCACCCAGCAGAAGGGAAGCCCCCACTTTCTCTGGGACAGACCCCTAGAGAGCCCCAGGTCATCCACCAGTGTGTGCTCGCTGCATCTGCTTTGGTGAATTAGCTCTGAGGAGAAGGGAACTGCCTGGCTCTCCCTCAGCAGGAGCTGTGGTGTCTGAGGATGTGTTCATGAGGCCTACCGGGGCCTTCACATTCCCCAGGGCATCCCCTTCCCAGAGTCTGTGGGCCACTGATCCCTGCCACTGGACTGCCTTCTCTTAAACCTCTTCTGGGGAGGGTAGGTTCCCTAGAGTCAGGATGGCATCATGTGACAGCTGTTTGTAGGCCTGCTTGGAGAGGCAGTCAAGTGTGGTAGGAACATGGGCCTTGAAGTTTTAAGTCCATGTGAGATGTGGGTTCAAGTCCCTGCTCTTCTGTGGAACCAAGTCACTTATCTTTCAGCCTTAATGAAAGTTATGGTCTGTATTGGAGAAAGTCAGAGCAACCTTGTGAAGCTGTTGTAAGGATGAAAGGAGCTTTTCATGCCCATAAAACGCTTAGAGTGGGGCCCAGAACATAGGAAGCCGTCCATAAGTAAGAACAGCCAGTTGGCATCAAGTTACCCCAACTCATAGTAACCCATGTGTGACAGAGAAGAGCTGTGCTTCTTAGGGTTTTCAGAAGTAGAGTGACAGGCCTCTCTTTGGAGGTGCCTCTGCATGGACTGGAACCTGCAACCTTTTGGTTAGCAGCTGAGCACTTTAACCTTTGCACCACCCAGGGACTTCAATCAATAAGTGGTTGCCTGAAACAATAAAAGAGGGAGAATTAGGGATGAGTGAGGAGGTGGGGGATGCTTACCCAGTGGGTGGGGGCTCATGCATGCTGTGGGTGCTCTGGGTGACAGTTTAAAGCAAGACCAGACTCAGGGAGTGTTGCTGCATGACCTCTGCCCTTCTGTCCATCTCTGCCCCGGTGGTTGGACTTCTGCTAACTGCGTCTCCACGTCCTTCCCCAGGTACATGTACCCCTCCATGGACCAGCTGGCTGAAATGCTTCCTGGAGTCCTTCACCAATTTGGGTAAGAGTGTGGGATGACTGCCCCCACTGGGTGGGAGTGAGGGATTGACTTCCTACCCATTGGGTAAGGGTAAGGGAGCCACTCCTGCCCATTGGTAGAGAAGGGTGGCTTTTAGCACTGTTTCTGGCCAATCATGTCTATCTTGTGCGGTATCTTGACAACACTTCCCAGGGATGCAGCCCTTGAGGATTGTGGGATGCTTGGGGGAGTTTGCCACTTACCTAGCATGCCTTGTGGCCCTGCTTCAACACAACGGAATCAGACTCTCTGGTTACGGCTGAGGACCTGGGCACAAGGACAATGCTTTGGGTTCCTTGTGAGGAGACAGGAAAGAAAATGGGTGGGAACCCTGCTTTGGCCTTCTTTCTGGAAATTTCCAGCGCAGTGAGTGCACCCTGAGGAGGCAGGGGACAGCATGCATGGAAGGGAAGGGAGAAGCATTGCCCACAGGGCTCTGATGGAGAAGCCTGGTTTCAGAGAGACGTGGGGAGGCTGCTTGGCAGAAGTGGTGGTTGCTGAGACACTGGGAATGGAGGTAGTCTGGGAAGGGGCTTAGTGGGGTGCCAAGGGTGTGAGACTGGTACCCCACCTGGAGAGGTGGGCACAGATGGTGGGAGCGAGAAACCCCTCTGTGTGCTGCCAAGGACTTGGTGATGTTGTTCGGTGACACTGAGCTGATTCCAATGCACAGTGACCCTACAGGACAGAGGAGAACTGCCCCACAGGGTTTCTGTCCTCTGACCTGGATGTGAATTGAAGTTTGGAGATTAGGGAGGAAATAGCTTGTCCCACTGGGTAAACTTGAACACTGTTCTCAGTACAGTCTCTTAGTTCTGTCTGCCTGCTATGACTTTAGTTTTCCTCTGGCTGAGTAAGTCAACCCCATGACTTCCATCCACCCCTCCTTTCCTTGAGTCCCATTCCTGGTTGCCTTCCCTTTCCGACGGAAAGTTCCAGAATGGGCCACCTGAGCCCTCCCTTCTGCTCCCTGCCCTCATTCCTTCCATGCTCATTTCCCTCTTAGCTGAGCCTTGAGGAGGATCAGAATGCCTCATGGGTCTTGCTCAACTGATGTTCTTCCAAGTCTTAGACTCTGAGATAAGCCAAGAGTGGGAAGACCGAATACTGCAATGGGCCTTCCCATGAGTGTCAGACAGGCTCTCGGGTTCTTGGTGGCAGCCAGGAGGGAAGTTGGATAAAGAGGGCATGCCTCTCCAAGGTCATGCTGTCTGCCAGTTCCAGAACTTGATGTATCTCGGGCCCTCGGAGGGCATAGCTTGGCAGTGTGGCCCTGCTCACTCTAGCTTACTGGCCATGTTCAGGAGGCCTGAACAGACACTGGGTGGGGATGAGGCTCCTTAGAGACAAGGAAGGGGGAGTCTTCAGCAGGCTGTCAGTCTCCCCTTACTCTTTCCTGGTCTTAGTGGACTTCATTTTTGCTTCCAGGCTGAAGAGCGTCATTGGCATGGGGACTGGTGCGGGCGCCTACATCCTAACGCGATTTGCTGTGAGTTCTTGAGAATCTTTTTAAAAATTACATTTGAAATAACAAAATTGACTCAGAATTTGTTACAGAAGAAAGGGAAGAAACTTGGGAAAGCATCAAAAAAGCCTAAAAGGGAGAAACCATATCATAATTCCATTTCCCAAGAAATACCCAGGGTTTACGCTGTGGTGTGTGCTCTGTCCTGTGTGGATGGGGTGTGTGTGCACATACTCTCTCTCTCACACACACACATATGGACAGCTTCTTCCTCCTTTACTGAAACACTAGATCTATCCTGTGTGGAGGGGGTGTGTGTGCACATACTCTCTCACTAGATCTATCCTGTGTGGGTGGGGTGTGTGTGCACATACTCTCTCTCTCACACACACACATATGGACAGCTTCTTCCTCCTTTACTGAAACACTAGATCTATCCTGTGTGGGTGGGGTGTGTGTGCACATACTCTCTCTCTCACACACACACACATATGGACAGCTGCTTCCTCCTTTACTGAAACACTTGACACAGCCCTGCGTCCTCAGCTCTGCTCACTCCGCTGCCTGTGTTGGAGAGTCCTCGTGTCCTGGGATCCTCTGCTACGACCAGTCGTTCTTTGTAATAGCTGCTCAGGTTATGCAGTCGAGGTCCTCTTGGACCCTCAGCTAGAGCCAGAGACACATACCCAACATGAAAGTTGTCGCTTAATTACTGTGGCCCCAGGTCAAGAGTCACTGAGTCCTCTCCATCCTTACTGAGCAATTGCCTACAAATGCCAGATCCTCAGCTTATTTGGCCACCTGGGCTTTGCTCAAACCAAAAACCAAACTCACTGCCGTGGAGTCGCTTCTCACTCATAGCGACCCTGACTGGGTTTCTAAGGTGGTACATCTCGACAGAAATAGATTGTCCCGTCTTTCTTCCTTGGAACAGCTGGTAGGTTTGAACCACCAACCTTGTGGTTAGCAGGCAAATACCCAGGCACTCTGCTACCGGAGCTCCTCTGGGCTTTGCTAGAGGTTAGAAATAATTACATAAATATAGAATGGTGTGACCATTTAGGCAAAATGATTAAATGATTTTTTTTAAATGGTCTCACATACATCCTGCAGAATGTGTGTGTATATATGTATGTGTGTATATATGTGTAAGTGTGTGTGTGTGTGTGCGCGCATCCCCTATCTATCATCATCTATCTGTCTGTCTCTACCTCTGTCTATCTATCTTCTGTCTGCCTATCTCTATTTATCTTTAAGGTCCCTAGTTCCCACTAAACTGCTAACCTAGGGGTTGGGGGTTTGAACCCACTTAGCAGTGCTGCAGAGGAAAAGCCTGGCAGTCTGGTTCCGTGCAGATTCCAGTCAAGGAAACCCTATGGAGTAGCTCTATTCTGTAACACATGGGGGCGCCACAAGTCCGAATGGATGTGATGACAACTGACGACCACTCGGCAGCCTGCGCTGGCCCCAGAGTCTGCTTTGCTTTTTAAAGCTACTGCTATTTCAGACTGCAGGGTTCTCATTCTCACCTTGTGTCTTGCATTGCAGCTGAACAACCCTGAGATGGTGGAGGGCCTTGTGCTCATCAACGTGAACCCCTGTGCAGAAGGCTGGATGGACTGGGCTGCCTCCAAGGTGAGCCTGGGGGCTGGGGCTGGTGCCAGGCCTGGGGGTGTGGGGCTCTGCCTGGCTGAGCCATGGAGCTGAGGGACCTCTCTTGACCCCAGCCCTCTACCCCTCTACCTCCAGCAAAGAAAGTTTTCCTCTGCTTTGCTTATAGTAGCTAACATCTCCTCAGCTATTTGCAGCTCAGATTTAAGGACTGTGACATCTAAGTCAGGGAGACCACTGGGACACAAGGCCCTGAGCCAGCTTCGAGAGGTGGAGCTTGGGTTCATAGGTATTTGCTAGGTACTCTGTGTGTGTCAGGCTTTGCCCAAACTGCCAAGGGCAAAAGCTGAGCAAGACAAAACCTCTAAGCTTATGAATCCGCATGTTGATGGAAAAACAGAAACAAGAATCATTCCTTTAGTACTGTGACACCGGGTGGTGCGGATGGTTAAGCTGCTAACTGAAATGGTGGTCTGAGTCCACCCAGAGGCCCCTGGGAAGAGAGCCTGGTGATGTGTTGTTGTTAGGTGCCGTCTGAAACATCAGCCGTTGAAACCCTGTGGGGCACAGTTCTAACCCTGACAAACATGGGGTCAGCAGGAGTCAGAACCGACTCGCTAGCATGTGTTTGCTGTTTTGTTTTTATGTGCCACAAAGTTCTGTGATAATAATAACTATTAGCTCACATTTATTGTTTACTGTGTTCTATTTCTAAGGAGCCCTGGTGGCACAATGGTTAAGTGCTCAGCTGCTAACCAAAATGGTGGTGGTTTGAACCCACCAGCCACTCCTTGAGAGACAGAGGTGGCAGTCTGCTTCCATAAAGATGACAGTCTTGGAAGCCCTATGGGGCAGGTCTACTCTGTCTTCCAGGGTCGCTATGAGTCTGAATCAACTTGTTTGGTGTGCTGCTGTTTCCACTCTACGTTGCCATATATGCATTCATTTACTCAATTTTCCCAAGTGCGCCAGGAGGTGGGAATTGAGATAACCCCTCTACAAATGAGGAAACTGAAGCTCAGAAGGGTTGAGGGAGGTGTCCAGGTGACACCGAGTTAGGCACTAGGAGAAACAGGGCTTGCATGTAGATCTTACTGACTGCATGGTCTGTGGTTAATGTCAGCTCCCACCCAGCAGACTGCTTACACCTGCCTAACCCAGACCCTGCTGGCCGGGCCTACAGAGGTGGGGCAGACACCCCCTGCCCTGGGGCTCCAGTCCTGAGACCAAAGCCTGCAGAAGAAGGGCCCAAGCCTTCTCGGAAAGCTGGGCCCTGGCTGGCAGTCTAAGGCTCTTTGTTTATCTTTCTAAAACTCCGATTGTTTTTTTCATAAAGGCCCTAGTATTTGCCAGAGAAAAGGGGAAACCATTCCAATGGAAACAGAACAAAGCTTTGCAAACTGAGGTGTCCTGGCTTTTCGTTCTGCGAGTGTGTTTTTGCCAAGTTTGGGGCGGCTGTCAGGGGACGGGTTAGGGAGGTTTGAAAGGTCACAGCCCCGACCCCACCCCGGCCCTGCTCATCTTGCATTTCTTTCCTGAACATTCTGCCTGAATTCACAGCCCTGCCCGCTACCTGTCTGACACCCAGGAGCAGAACCCCCACCCTGGGGTCTGGTTTTGTGGTTTTGTTATTTTTCCAACAAAGGCAGTGACAGTCCAGTTGGCTCCTCGAGAGCTGTTCCAAGCCAGACGTGAAGGGACAGGGACACTGACTGTGGCTGCAGTGAGCCCAGGGAATGGTGTAGGGTTAGCAGCCGCACCATGCCCCTCTGCTGCAACCCTGCCCTGTGGGAAAGAAAACCTAATACTGGGCCTGGGACATGTGTCGTCGCCGCATGTAATCCTCACCTTGGCCTTGTGCCTCTGAAGTTCCAGGCATCCCCCTCAAGGGATGGGAAGTCCAGGGTCCAGTGTCTGCAAACTGCCTGGTGTGACACACCTGGGATGTGGCAATCAGTGCCAGTTGACAACTCCCAGACCCAGAGTTTCTCTGTCCTACCAGTCCCTGCCCAGTGCTGAAGTTGGTTAGCACACATTCATGGAGCTCCTGCTGGATACCCAGCATTTATGGAGCTCCTGCTGGATACCCAGCATTATGGAGTGCCTGCCGAGTACTGAACATTGTCACTGGGGAAAGGTACAGAAAAGAAACTCTTCAGTGACTTGGTGACCTCAGCATATTCAGAGTGAGGAAAGTGGCCTGAGAAGGAAAAGCCAAATGACATGGAGGGATCACTGGGGACTGTGATTCTGGGGTGCAGACTGGGGAGCTCAGTGTGTGTTTAGAAGAGATGGGAGAGGCGAGCTTGCGGAGTGGGAGAGCTAGGTGTGCCTTGGGTCTCCACTCAGCACTGTGTGCTGCCCAACCCAGGGCATGGGGCTGGGAACAAGAGACTGGGTGGAGACAGACCCTGTGTTCAGGGGCTCCAGATGCAGGTGATGACCAGGGGCAGGTAAATGAGCATCCGTCCAGGCAAGGCTGGGACCAGGCCGCCCTGCCCTGAGGGCAGCAGGGTTTGCCAGCCTCCTCTTGCTCCTGTTATTGCTGGCTCCTCACCGCCTGCTTTTACCCTCCTAGATCTCAGGATGGACCCAGGCCCTGCCAGACATGGTGGTGTCCCACCTCTTTGGGAAGGTGAGTACCAGGCCTGGTGTGCTGCCTTCCATGTGGCCCTGGGACCGGGTGCGAGGGACAGAGACGACAGTGGAGGGGACTGCATGCAGATGCCCACAGAGTGACATGAGCATTCCTCATTCATAACCCTCAAGGCAGTCATCCTCTTATTTTTCTATAAAATAAAATAGCTCTATTGAGGTACAGGAAACTGCACGTATTTAAAAATGTGTACAATTTGGCACATTCCGATGTGTGAGTATGCCCACAATACCTCGCTGAAGTAGAGATAATGAACAAATCCGTCGGCCCAAGGCTTCCTCCTGCCCCTCTGTAACCAGCTCCCACTCCTCCCTTCCCCTCCCCAGGCATCCTCCGGGCTGCTCTCCGTAACTGGAGATTAGTAGGCATTTTACAGATTCGCATGCACTTCATTGATTTCGTGATGAAGGGCGTCATTGAGTGTGCACTCCGTCGGCCAGCTTATTTCTCTCGGCATACTTCTTGTGAGATTCTTCCGTGCTGATGAGTGCATCAGTAGCTCCTAACTTTCTCCTGCTGACAGAAGTGTATTGTGGATGTCCCACAGCTCATTTTTCCAGTCTGTGGACAGATGCTGGGCTTACTTCCGGTTCTGGGTGATTACAAATAAACCTGTAGCCAGCCTGGCCACAGAGCTTGCTGGTGCTGGGCACTGTTCTGAGAACCTGGCAAGAATGAACTCAGGGACTCCTCCCGGCAGCCTAGGACCTGTGTGATCACTACTGTCTCTATCCCCAGTTTATGGATGAGCAAACTGAGACCAGAGAGGCTTTGTGCCTTGAGGCAGTCTCTCAGCCAGGGCTGGGATTTGATGCCATCCAGGTTGGCTCTAGAATTCCTTCTGGGAGCTTCCAGACACTGTCCCTCTGTGTACCCTGCTTGCAGGCTGGAGGGGGTTGCTATAACACTAAGAGCATATAGAAAAACCCCTGGCAGCCCACTAGCTGTGTATAGTCTGTCCTCATGAACCCTGGCCACCCTGTCCCCTGACTCCACTTTGTAACTCCAACCTGGGGCCCGACAGCCCTGGGAAGGAACCACTGTGGGCTCTAACCCCAGAGGAGGGTCAGATAACTCCTCAGGTACCTGAGTTCCGGGTGACCTGCTCTGTTACTTTGTGTGGTCCTCATGCCACCACCCACTCCTGCATGGCAGTGTGACCATCCAATGATGCCCTGTGTGATTGTGAGTCCAGAGAAGTGGGATTGGTGAGCTGTGTCCCCTGGGTTTGGTCTTCTTTCCTTGTTTGCACTTTGTTCATGTTTTATGGTGTGTTTACTCCACCCTGAGGAGCTCTTGTGGCACAATGGTTAAAGCATTTGGCTGCCAACCAGATAGTTGGAAGTTGGAACCCACCAACCATTCTGCAGGAGAAAGATGAGGCAGTCTGCTTCAGTAAAGATTTATGGCCTTGGAAACCCAGTGAGACAGTTCTACTCTGTCCTCTATGGGTGCTGTGAGTCAGAATCCATTAGAAGGCAGTGGGTTTGGTTTGGGCTTTCTTTTGTAAAGATTTACAGTCTTGGAAACCCAATGGGACAGTTCTACTCTGTCTTATAGGGTGCTTGACCTCCTGCAAGGCCTGCTTGGCCTCTGTGGAAATTGAGATTGCCCTTCTTTCCAGAAACTTCCAATCACATGAGTTAGTTTTGTTTTTCCAGTGTGAGGAGCTTCTTTTCACCTCTCATCATTAAACAATAATTATTGCTGACATCTGCATCCTATATTTACAGTTTACAAAAGACTTGTGTGCAGAGTCTTCATTAAGGTCCCCAACCTAGTGAAATAGGTACTGTTACTCCCTCTTGGTATGCTTTTTTTTTTTTCCAATTGTAGTAATGATATAGATAAAGTAAAACATTTGCCATCTCAACATTTTTTACGGTTTGGTGACGTTGATTAAGTTCGTCATGCTGTACGGCTGTCACCACCCTCCGCTCCCATTTTTTCCATCACCCTTGATGGAAGCTCAGTGCCCCTCAGCAGGTGACTCCCCTTGCCCAGGGAGGCACGAAGGAACTCCCAAGGAGCTTGGGTACCTACCTGGGAGCATAATTGCTGGGTCATATGGTAGTTCTATGTTCAATGATCCTATGGGAGCTGTCTGTTCAGTGATCCTATGGGAGCTGTCTGTTCAATGATCCTATGGGAGCTGTCTGTTCAGTGATCCTATGGGAGCTGTCTGTTCAGTGATCCTATGGGAGCTGTCTGATAAAAATGATCCTACGGTGTTTTTGTGTGAAATGATCCTATGGGAGCTGTCTGTTCAGTGATCCTGTGGTGTTTTTGGGTGAAATGATCCTGTGGGAGCTCTATGTGGAACGTGTGAAATGATCCTATGTGTGAAATGATCCTATGGGAGCTCTGTGTGGAACGTTTTGAGGACCATCCCACTGTTTTCCCCAGAAACTATCATTTCATAATCTCACCAAAAATGGATGAAGTTTCAAATTTCTCCACACCCTCACCAGCACTGTGTTTTTGTTTTGTTTTGGTATTTTTTTTAATTTATGGCCATCTTTAGCTATCCCCTCCTCCCTTTTTGGAGGGACCTATGGTAGTGCAGTGGTCAGGAGCTTGGCTGCTAACCAAAAGTTTGGCAGGTTTGAACCCATGAGCCTCTTCATGGGAGAAAGATGAAGCAGCCTGCTTCAAAGATTGACAGCCTTGGAAACCCTCTGGGGCAGTTCTCTGTTCTCTAGGGGTGCTGTGAGGTGGAATAGACAGTGGGGCTTTGCTTTCATGAAGATTACAACCTTGGAATCCATATGCGACAGTTCTACTCTGTCCTATAGGGCTGCTAGGAGTCAGAATCAACTCAATGGTAGCAAGTACGGTTTTGTTTGGCTAAGGGACTCACTCAAAAAAGGAGCCATGATAGACCCAACCTCTAGGTCCAGGCAAATTGACTTCAAACCACAGCTCCCTAAGTCCTTGCAAGTGTGCTGTCAGTGATGCTCAGACACCTGTAGGCACCCTGCACGGCTTTCCTGGAGACGCCTTCATGGCTCTGCAGCAGACAGCATTGTGGACCAGGCATTCTTAGTTTTACATTGCCCTGAATAGCCTGGAAAAGGGAGAGGCTCATGACCAGCCCAGGCAGTCCCTGCAGTGAAAGCCTTTCCCCCTCTAACGGCAGGAAGAAATGCAGAGCAATGTGGAGGTGGTCCACACCTACCGCCATCATGTTGTGAACGACATGAACCCCACCAACCTGCACCTGTTCATCAACGCCTACAACAGGTACCAGATGTCCTCAGCCAGACAGTTGCCATGTGTCAGGCCCCTTTGGGGTATCTGGGACACAGGGGAGGGAGATGAGGATTACAGAATTAGCCAAAGACGCTGCCCCTGAATTTGAGCAGATACAGTGACAGACAGTGGTGCCTGGTGAGTCATTTGGAGTCTCCTTGGGTCCTAGCACTTGACAAGGAGCTTAGCTGCTACTCCAGACCACGGGAGCTGCAAGCACAAGTGAGGCAGTCACACACCCAAGGGGCTGAGAGGTAAACGTGCTGGGCGCTTATCACAGATGAGAGCCCACTGTAAGAATTTCTGAGAGAGCACACAGCCCTCTGGGAAGATGGGAGGAATCCGAGGAGGCTTCAGGGAGGTGCGCTGGGCATTCCAGGGGTGAGCAGGACCCTGACACAGCCTCCAGCCAAGCTGGAGCCCTCTCAACAATAACAAGGTCCGTGTGTGAAGCTCTGGAATCCTCCATGCGCTCACTCAGCCCCAAAAAGGGGGACAAGATGAGCCTCATCAGGTTTGCTCCCCTCAAATGCTAATACTTTCCCATTAGGAAGCCCTTTCATGTTTATAATGCAATGAAGTATTCTCTACAGTTCTCCCAACATCTGAGTGTGGGCAAACTAGTAGTTTTCTAGTAGTCTCTCTAGTAACTGAGGAGACTGAGGCTTAGGGGTTCATATATTTAGAGACACTAAGAACTGGAGTGAGTCAGGCTGTCAGGCAGGTGGTGAGGCCACAGGACACCAGCAATGACCACCAAAGCCCACGTGCTTTCACCCTCATGGAGCATGTGAACCCACTGATGCCTCACAGAATCCCTCTGACGAGGATGCCATTATTGTCACCATTTTCTGCTGAGGAAGCTAAGGTACAGAGAGGTTCAGTAGTCTGCCCAAGGTCACACAGCCAGTAGTGGTTGTGGAGCAACATTTGAATCCAGCCTCTCTGGCTCCAGATCATGAAGCGAGGCAGGAACTTCCCATGCTGAGAGCTGCAAGGTAGCTGAGAGGCCGCAGAGCTTACCTGCAGGGGGATGGGCCCGGCCACACTAGACACAGGGCTAGCCCGCAGGGGGAAGGCTTTGCCACACCAGACTTGGGCAGGGAGGACCACTGGTGGTTTTGAAACAAGGGAGTAGCGCCACCAGGTCTGAACTATAAAGAGATCATTTGGGCTCATCAGGTTTGCTCCCCTCAAATAGAGGACGCGGGGTGGGAACACAGTAGGAAACTGATAAGGGTAGAAGGTGGGAGACCACTGAGAAGGCTGGCCATTTAGGGGACAATGAGGCTGCTGTCCCTGTAACCACTTCTGTGGACGCCAAGAGACTCGAGCATTGGGAAAAACCATGTGACCTTGCACAGGTTGAGGCTGGGGGGGGTGGCCACAATGGCCAATGGCAGGTCCCCTGGGCCTTGGGTGGGGGCTGGGGTCTTCCTCCAGGGGAGGGTCTGCTGATGCTAACAGTGCATCTTGTTGTAGCCGACGGGACCTGGAGATCGAGCGGCCCATGCCGGGAACCCACACCGTCACCCTTCAGTGAGTTGCTTTCCTTTCACCACATATAGCTGGGGTTACCTGCGGTCCAGTTGGCCATGCCGGCAGTTGCTAGCAGAGGCTTCTTTCTGGTGGGATTGTCACAATGTGGTATGGCATTGCCATCAGTGAGAACTGCACATGCTCCACTAGGGACCAAGCATGACCCAATCTGCTCAGTCTTCTCCCTGAACGAGAGGCTTTATTTCCTAGGGTATCCCCATGACCTCAATCAGAGTTTGATTTCACTTACCATGTCAAATGCTATGTTAGGCTTTGCTTCACAGAGCCTAGAGATGAATAAGACACAAGGCCCACCCCCAAATTGATCTATCAATGTAGAAGACCATCATGGCCAAAGGAAACTGATTCTACCAATAACCACTGTGTTTCATTGTTCCTTGAGGGCACCAAGTGTTTGACTTCTAAACCTTTACACATGTTGTTTCTATTGTCACTTGTGCCATTCTTGTCTGTGGTCGTGACTACCAGCAGAGTCATGCTCATCCTTCTTTGGAGAGAAGAATGTAGTTTTAAAATAAAAAGCATTGGGGTAAAGAAATGCCCAACTCATACTAAAGTGTAAATGACTACTGACCATCTCATCCCGAAAACAAAACAGAGTATGGAGGGGGGTCGACAGAAAAGGGCAGAGGGTCCTGGGGAATCTGGAAACCAAAGTAGGATTCTGTAGGATCCTGTCCCCAGCCTGATAGGTCTGGGAGTGTGAGAATCTCAACATGAGGCCGTGCTAACTAATTCTGCACCCTTCCCTCCCTGCCCTCAGGTGCCCTGCTTTGTTGGTGGTTGGGGATAATTCTCCTGCTGTGGATGCTGTGGTACGTAGTTCAGCCGAGTTCCGCTGCACCTGGGGGTTCCCTTCCAGTCTCTCCTGTGGATGAAAGTCCGTGCAGCCCGCAGGTGGGGAGCACAGTCGCTTCAGAGAGCTCAGAGAGCTGGAGGCTGAGCTCGCCTCCAAATGAGAGATGGGAATGGACCCCACCAAATGAGAAGGCACTGGGGGAGGATGATGAGAAAACAGCAGAAAGTTGGAGAGCAGCAGGGGTCAGTGGGTTCGGGAATCTTGGGCTGTTTCCATCCCTTAGCAGCTGCCAAGACCCCCAGCCTCTCTTATCCTCAGCTCCTGTTCTGAAAACAAATTCCCACTTGCTGCAGAAGGCTTATGGAGGGATTGAATAAGATAAAGTAGTGACCACTCAATCAGTGGTAGCCCGTACCTTCTTGTCTGTTTGGGTTAATGATTAGCTGTGGGGGAGACGCACAGTGCCATCTGTCGGGAAGGAGGAAGGGACCTTCACTGGTTGTCCATCACAGGCCAGATGTTGCTCCCAGGTTTTGTGGATGCCCTAGGAGATTAGTATGATGACATCATCTGACAGATGAGGAAACTGAGGCAGAGGGAGGTGACTGACCTGCTGAAGAGCAGGGGTGAGACGCCATGGAGTCCTGCCAGGCTCCAGACGTGGGCTCTGTCCCCATGCCCGGCCGTCATTATGGCCAGTCAGTTCCCTGGTTGGCGTGGGGGCCTCCTGGCTCAGGTCTGCCTCCCCAGTGCCCGAGGCAGGAGGCGGCCATGAGTGCTGGCTGCAGCTTCAGGTTCTGTTGGAGAGAGACCCAGGCTTCCGGCTGCTCACCTGTCTGAGGGTTGTGCTTTGTGGATGTCTCTTTTCAGAGGCTCCTAAGACAAGTGCCTTTTTTCTTTTTTGAGCATTTGACTGTGGTTTGGGTGAAATTTTGCAAAGCTAATTAGCTTTCCATTCAACAGTTTTTCCCTATTTTGCCTTGTGACGTGACTTGCAGCCCCCTCAGTGGAAGGGCTCTCTTCCCTCTTGCTCTCTGAGTTCTCTACTCCCACCCACCCTTTCCTGCCCCTGCCTGCTTTCTGAGCTCTGTTCTTGGGCAAATACTGCCTCTTTAGTCTCATATGGCTGATTGTTCCGAGGAGTAGAGGGAGGAAAACCAACGTCTCTAGGGTTTTGCCCACACCCTGCCCCTCCCCACTCCGTTCCCTCTGGAGCAGGGAGGGAGCCTGGCCTGATGGAGGTGGGAGTGGGCAACGGGCAGGAAGTGCACCCTGGGTGGCCCTTTAAGGAGAGTGATGTGTCTCCCTGAGGCCAGGGATGTGCCAGTGGAGAACCGAGGCCTGAGGTTTGGTGTCTGTGTTTAGTTCAATGGCCTGATCAGGTTGACTTTGTGTGGAGTTCCTGTCCCCCTGCCCACTTACTTCCCCTCCCCCTCCCCACTGACACCAACAGGGCAGGTGACGTCTTTGAAATTCCATATTGGCCTTTGGGCAGAGGGCCCATCAGCTTCTTTCCCTGGTGACTGTCAGCCGTGGTTGCTTGGCAACAGGCCCTCTGTCTCCGCTCCCAGGCCCCTCACCGCCAATCTGCTTCTCATTAGCTTGTTCAGATGGCTCTGTTTGCCACTTGGCTCCTGGGCCAAGGGGCTCTGCTTGCACTTGGGGATCAGGTGAGCCTGTCAAAGCCAGCTGGTGCCTGGTCATCTGGCAGGGAGTAGAGGCACCTGGGGAGTGGGGCTCAGGCAAGACTTTCTGGCCCATTTCACCCCTCGATTCCGCCTGCAGCATTGTGGAGGCAAAGGGGGGGCCCTGTGCTATCCCCACAGCTGGGCAGACAGAAGCCTTAGGGCTGAGGATCAGAGTCCCAGGGTGGTGGCATGCCATGTGCACTGGCCTGCAGAGTGGGGTTTGCAGATGTTCATGAGGTAAAGATGAAGGCTGTCTTCGTGAGCCATGGGTTTCTTGTGGGCTGACCCAATGGATCCATCAGTAGAGACACAGTGTTCACATCAGGGGAGGTGGTAGTTCTACCATAGGCACTTTGAACAGACAGGTTACTTGTGAGGGTGTGTCTGGTTCTGGATGCCACGTTTAAGACAACCATCAACAAGTTGAAGACAGAAGCCAGCTTGGGGGCTGTGACTTCACAGAGGGAGAGTGGCTGGAACTGACGATGTTGAACTTTGAACCTGTGGAATCACTAGCAGCGCGCGGTTACCAAGGCCATCCATTTAGCAGACTATCCTAGAGCACCGTCTACGTTTTAGCTAACCTGTATAATAACCCTTTGAGTAAGGCAATATCCCCATTTTATTGACGAGAAAACTGAGATGCTTGTAAGTGACTTGTCTGAGGTCACACAGCTGATGATGGCAGGGCTGGGATGTAAACCCTCATCCGTTTGCTCCCTCCCAGAGCCCGTGCTCTCTTTCTCCCAATAGGAATAGTGGAGTTGCTGGTGATGGTGGCAGAGTGGCCAGGAAGGGAAAAGGTTAGGACTTGGGCTACAGGTAGACAATTAATGCATCCTCTCCCTTCCTTCATGCAGGTGGAATGCAACTCTAAATTGGACCCAACGAAGACGACCCTCCTCAAGGTACGGGGGCAGCGATGGTGCTCTGTGTCTGTTCTGTTGTAGAATCCCCCCATATCCTGCAGAATCAAGGGCCTCTGATTGAGACAAAGTCGATGGTCAGAAACCATGGAGACATTTAATGCATTCACTCTCAAACATAATGGGCACTGGCTGCTGAGATGAGAGCACCCCTCCCTGGGCCCCCATGAATCTCCAGACCACAGGCAGGAGGGTGAGTCCTCCTTCAGTCATAGTGGCGTCCTTATAAAAAAGAAGAGATGCAGAGACCACCATTGTCACTATTGTTTCTCTGGGTCTCTGTATCCAAATTTCCTTCTTCCTGTAAGGACACAAAAGAGCTCTGGTGGCGTAGTGGTTAAAGCATGCAGCTGCTAACCAAAAGGTTGGCAGTTCAAACCCACCCAACTGCTCTGAGGGATAAAGATGAGGCAGTCTGCTTCCATAAAGATTTGCAGCCTTGGAAACTCTGTGGGGAAGTTCTACTCTGTCCTAAAGGGTCACTATGAGGCAGAGTTGACTTGATGGCAGTGACATTTTTGTTTTTTTGTAAGGACACCAGCAGTTGGATTAGCATCCATCTTAATCCACTATGACCTCATTTTAACTTGATCATATTGGTCACAGAAGTCCTGGTAATGCAGTGGTTAAGCCCTTGGCTGTTAACTGAAAGGTCAGAAGTTTGAACCCACCAGCTACTCCATAGGTGAAAGTTGAGGCAGTCTGTTTCCAGAAAGATTTACAGCTTTGGAAACCCTATGGGACAGTTCTACTCTATCCCATGAGTTGGAATTGATGGCGGTGGGATGGCTTTGGTTTTGCTATGCAGGCATGCTCCTGGGCCCGGGGATTAGCAAGTCACCGTATCTTTTTTGGGGAAACAGTTGAACTCAGAACATGATGTAGGTGACCTGTCTAAAGCCTGGTATTTCATATTAGATCCAGGATTAGAACCCACTTCCGCCTGATTCTAGACTCCTCTCACTCACCAGCCCGCTCTGTGGGACTGCCCCCTGGTGTTACAGTTTAACATCTGGTCATTCATGTTCACACTGGGCCGAGGACCATCCCAGGTTAGCAGGGCCCTGGGGCCAAACCTCAGGATCTGGTTTCAACATACTCTATGGGCGACGGATGGCTGCAGGCCTCTCCCTCTCACCAGCTCCCTCCAGTTCCGTGGCCCTTCAGGCCATCCTCACCTCCATCTCCATGCTGGCTGCCTGGGTGCTCGAGCCCCGGGCCATGCCCTTCTTCCTCCCCAGATTAATTAATAGTTACACTGGCTTGAAATGGCCTCCACGGGAGATGGCTCTGGGCTTGATGATTTACAGTGTTTGCAAAGCCCCAGTGGACTAAGGTCTTCTAATCCAGCAGTTTCCTTTTGAGAGAATCTTTAACAAAAATGTGTGTAATGGGCCTCAGTGAGTGAGTCCTTCAGGTCAGGAAGAGCCTGGCCACATAGGGCAAGTTCCTCACTGCTCTTCAGCCCTCTTTAATGGGCCATTTGTAGACTGTTGTGGATGGAGGAACTATAGCCACAGGGCCTAGGAGAGTGGCTGGCACATCACAAGGTAAAGGGAAGAGCTGTTGGGAAGACACAGGCAGATGCTGCTATGGGAAGTAATAGCAGCAGTGGGAAGGGTCCAGGGGCTGCCCCCATGATGTACTCAGTCCCCTCTCGTGGCCACAGCAGGGCACATCAGAGAGCAGGGCAGGGACAAGGCAGGCGCCCATGTGGAACTGGTTCACAGACAGCCTAGTTCATGGTTCATGTCCATGAGGCGTTGGCACTGACTGTCTCTCTCTCTCCTAGATGGCTGACTGTGGTGGCCTCCCTCAGATCTCCCAGGTGAGCCATTGCTGTCAGCTTCAATACCTGCCCCACCCCTCCGGCCAGGGTGTGCCTTCCTCCTGGCTCCTCAGTGCCTGCTTGTCCCCCAGCTCTCGCTGATATCTGATGACACACGGTGGACAGATGACTGTTTGCAAAAGTTGTTCGCCCTGAGGGCTCACCCTACAGAAATCCCTGTGGAGCAGGTGCTTCTGGAGGTCACAGGGTCAGGGACCCATCCACATGGACACAGCATGGCAGCAGTGGATTCCAAAAATCACATGCCCTCTGCCATCCCACAGGTCCCAGGGAGTGAAGGCCAAAGCAGAGTGGATGAAATGAAAGTGTGCACACATGTGTGTGTGTGTGTGTGTGCACGCATGTGTCAACCTAACAATAAGTACCCTGTGTTTGCTGCACAGAAACAGGCCCTTCCGTCCCCTACCAACCTACCACATTCAATTCTGGACTCTACCTGTATACCTGTATAATTTTCCCTCATGATAGTTATATATGATAAAAAGGCACTATTATGGGAACTGGAGGTTTTCACCAAACCCTACCTGCCCTTCTTTGGCTCTTCCAGTCCTGAAAAGGCCTCCAGAGACCCTCTAAACTCAGGATCTGTCAAGAGATAAGAATTGTGGCAAAGTAGGAGGGGGGCGGTTTTCTAGCTGTGTGTACATGCATCTCTCCCCCAAGTATGATGAGTCCCCCTGTGGCACACTGACCCTATAAAGGGGGAGGTCTGGCGGGCAGGGAGTGCACCAGCTCAGAGGTGGAGCTGGGTACCGTACAGCCCACAGCAGCTGGAGCTGTCCCAGCAGAAGCCAGCTGCTTTTTGAGGGTCACTGGGGGTTCTGAAGACACTCAGGCAGCCAGAGAAACAGCCCCCTGCATCAGCAGATGGCAGATCTCGGCAGCACTTCATTCCAGAACTCAGCACAGAGTTATAGACGTTAGTGGCATGTCTTGGGTCAAGAGGAGGTGGCCACAGACACGGATCCGTGTGATCACTGGTGATCTGGGCCTCCAGGGACTAACGGACTTGCCCTCTTTTCTCCTTGCAGCCGGCCAAGCTTGCGGAGGCCTTCAAGTACTTTGTGCAAGGCATGGGATACAGTAAGTATGGCACTGACCAGCATGCAGGGGGCGAGGGGCAGGTATGGGAGCTGGAAATACAATGCCTTGAGTCAGATTAAGAAGCTTTGGTGGCATAGTGGTTAAGGCATTTGCCTGCTAACCAAGAGTTTGAACCCACCAGCCGCTCTGTGGAAGGAAGATGGGGTGTTCTGCTTCCATGAAGATTCACAGCCTTGGAAACCCAGTGGGGGTTGCTGTTTGGAAGCAACTTGATGGCAGTGAGTTTGGTCTTTTGATTTTGAGTCAGCTTTGAAGGAGTTCTTTTTATTGCCTTGGCAGCTGCAGCTCTTTGCTGGTTGGGCAGGACAGGGGAAGAAGGTGTGTTGGGGTGGGCCGCAGTCTAGACTCTCTTGTACCGTAGTGGCCCCTTTATCTGCCATGGTTGAGCAGAAGTTGTTTCACCCCATGGAAGTTTGTAGGTTTAGGTGAGGGTTTCAAGCACTAAGAAGTCAATAGACAGAAGGCAACACAACAGTGGAAATATTTTAAGTTTGATTGCGTGCTTTCTTAAGAGACTACTAGTTGTAGTGATGGTAAGGAAGATGGTGGTGGTGGTGGTGCTCATAATGGTGGTGATGACAAAAGGTTATTAATAAATCCTTTATTTTCTCTCATTTAACCATCATGGTAATCTGATGAGATATTCCCTACCTTGTGCTAAAAATGAGGAAGCGTCACTTCTGAGATTGAACAGGCATTGGAGAGAGGATCTGTGAGGCCTTTGAAAGCTCTGTGTGAGGGGGTGAGAAAACCACCCATATTTAAGATCTGTCACGTGGTTAAATAGTTCCACTTGGGAATCGAAGGGCAAGTAGAATTCATGAATGTGCCGCTTGCTTCACAATTAGAGTTTGTGCTTTAGACACGGACAGTCTTTGTCAGAAATGCTGTCCCATGCCCAGGACAGACAGTGTCACATTTCAACCTTGGTGTTGAATCCCAGTCACAGTCGCCACTGCTTCCAGCACAGCTATGTCTGTTCTGGTTCTTCCTGCCACTGCGTGGATTATCCTCTATGCACCCATTGTAACTGGAAGCCTTTGAACATTTTTTAAATGTTTAAACTTATTTTGTTTTATTTAAAATAGTAACAGGCATGTTTGCTAAACCAACTACAGTCTTGAGATTGGCCTTGGCCCCATCTAGTTTTCAGGGAGGCTGGGACCAGGAAAGAGGTGAACCTACTTTCCATGCCTCAAGCGGGATCCTTGACCCAAGCTCCCTCTTCCAACAGAGCCCATGTCCCTGTGGCCTCCTGCCTTTCTAGTGCCTTGCCTGCAGGCCAAGTCAGCAGGCCAAGGCAGGAACTGGAGAATGCCACTGGCTGGCCCTCTTGACCTCACAGGGCATGCATCACGGCACGTTTCTCTTGGACTTGTAAAGGTTTTGGATTTCTGCTTTGAAAGTGTATTCTGAGGAGAAAAGAAGTGAAAGCCAGGCCTTGTTCTTTTTCCTCAAATAAGCTGCCATTTCCAGAAATGCAAAGCTTCCTCCAGTTATGGGGAGACAGCAGGAAGAGCAAGAGTTTCAAAGGCACCAACCAAGAGATAACCCATTGACCCATTGCCGTCGAGTCGTTTCCGTCTTAAAGTGACCCTGTGGGACAGAGTAGAATACCTCATAGGGCTTCCAAGGCTGTAATCTTTACAGAAGCAGACTGACTGCCACGTTGTTCTCTCCTGGAGTGGCTGGTGGGTTCAAACTGCCAACCTTTCAGTTAGCAGATGAATGCTTTAACCACTGCACAACCAGCAGGGCTCCTTAACCAAGAGAGAGAATGTAATAATGTTTTGAGCACCTACTCAATTTGGAGGACTCTGTTTGAATAGACTTTTGTATACATGGCATCTAGTATGCAATTCTAGTCACCAGAGGCCTGGGAGGGGGGTGGTCAGTACAGCTCCATATTCCACGTCCAGAAATAGGGGCTCAGGGAGAGTGTGTGAGGGACAGATCAGGGATTAACCTCAATTACTTCTGGATCCAACCATTAGCTCCTTAAGAAGGGATTAACCTCTGAGTCTCAGCCACAGAAGGACACCCCATATGCCTGCCTAATGAACGAGGAACCCCGACAAGCATGTGCACTTACCAGCCACCTCGCTTTATGATGTTAGTTATTCAGTTTGGCCTTGGCAGCAACATTTCAGTTGAGTGGTGTTTTAGTGTCCACAACCACCACAGCTGGGGGAGCTTAGAACAACGGAAAGTTACCACCTCACAGCGCTGAAGGCTGGAAGTTTGAAATCTAGCTGTCCAGCAGGACCAGGCTCTCTAGAAGGTTCTATAAGAGGATCTTCCTTGCTCCACTGGCTTCTGGGGGTTGCTGGCTGTGCTGAGTCTTCTGTGGCTCCCAGAGGCAGCACTTCCTGTGTCTTCACATGATGTTCTCCCTGTGTGTCTCTGTCTCTGTTTTCCCTTCCCACAAGGGCACTAGTCATTGGAGTAGGGCTTTGTCTTACTCCAGTATGACCCCACATTAAGTAATTACAACCACCAAGACCTTCTTTCCTGATAAGGTCACATACTGGGGTTCCAGCTGGACATGAATTTTGGGGTCACACTTTCAACCCAGTTCAGGTCGGGGAGACAGTTCTGTCTTAGTTCCACTTTATTGGCCACCTGTCATGTGCAAGGGTATTTGAAATCCTGGCAAGGATCCTAAGGAATGGACAGTGCCTCAGTGCTTTGCTGTCTGGGAGCTAACGAGCATCTTTGGGGAAGAGAGAGACGACTCAAGGCTCTGCCACCGACTTGCCACGTGTCCTCATTTTCCTCACCTGTCACAGGCATGGTTGGCCAGCTGACCTCACATGTCCTCTCTGCTGCAGCAGTGGCTGACAGTTTGGGGTAGTGGCACAGTCAGAAGTGCTTGTGGTAGAGGGGTCAGTCTTAATATCCCCATTGTTCAGATGGAGAAAGTGGGGCTCAGAAAGGACACTTCGAAAGACACACAGCAATGGTCGATCCTCATTATTTGTGGACTCCATAGTTGTGAATTCACCAACTTGCTAAACTTATCCCCAAAATCAATACTCGTGGTACTTTCATGGTTACACATGGACATGCTCAAAGGCACAATGTATGTGAGTTGCCCAAGACAACATGTTCCTCGCTGAGTCGAACGTGGTGCCATTCTGCCTTCTTATTTCACCTCTCAAACTATAAACAAGGCCATGTTCTTGTCCATTTTTGTGCTTTTGCCCGGTGATTTCATTATAAAAATGCCCCTAAGCAGAGTGCTGAAGTGCTACCTAATGTGCCTAAGTGCAAGAAGGCTGTGATGTGCTCTGGAGAGAGAATATATGTTCCGGGAAACCTTCTGTCAGGCATGAGTTACAGTGCTGTTGGCCCTGCAGTGAACACATCACACTGCCATCGAGCCGGATCTGACTCATAGCAACCCCTCCTTGAGTTTCTGAAGCAATATCACTATGGAAGTAGATTGACCAATGTTCCTTCTGAGGAGTGGCTGGTGGGTTTGAACCCCCAGCCTTCTGGTTAGCAGTTAAGTGCCTTACGCACTACACCACAATGTTAGTGAATCAGCTGTGTGTATTAAATAAGGGGTCTCTAAACAGAAACACACATAGAAGAGAGTTGTGTATTGATCAACTGATGGAAATGCTATGACCAGAGGCCCACAGGAACTGAGCCTGTGTTTTCCCTGGAGCAGCGGTTCCTATTTGCTAAGTCAGTGTTTGCAGTGAATTTATAGAAAATGTTGTGTTGTTAGTTGCCATCTACTTGACTCTAACTCAGGGCAACTCCATGTTTGCAGAGTGCCACTGCTCTGTAGGCTTTTCAAGATTGTAACCTTTTAGAAGCAAATTGCCAAGTGCCGTGAATAATGAGAATTGACTGTACTAAGCAGGTGATGGAACTGGGGTTCAAACCCAGAACTGGGTTCACTTACTTTGTGATTATAAGTCCATTAGTCTGTCTGAGCCTTGCTCTCCACCTCTGTGAAGGAACACAGGGAGGACAGGGAGCCTAGCGGCTCATTGCTCCGGGACTGGAACAGAATGCAGAGTCTAGCACAGAGTGGGCATCGGGGTCACTGTGTGCAGGTGACCCGGCCCTTCCCGAGCCTGCTTGCTCTCTCCCGTCCCATAACTAGGATTCTCTCTCTCCCCAGTGCCGTCCGCCAGCATGACTCGCCTGATGCGGTCTCGCACGGCCTCAGGCTCCAGCGTCACCTCCCTGGAGGGTGCCCGCAGCCGCTCCCACACCAGCGAGGGTGCCCGCAGCCGCTCCCACACCAGCGAGGGTGCTCGTCTCGACATCACCCCCAGCTCCGGTGCCACTGGGAACAGTACTGGGCCCAAGTCCATGGAGGTGTCCTGCTAGGTGGCCTTGCGGCCTCCACACCTGGACTTGGATCTGTAGCGGCCCCCTCCCCTCCAAACCCTTCCCACCCCTGCCTGCCATTCCGCACATAACTTGGCATTAATCCAAAGCTTATTTTCTAAGAGTGAGCTCTGGTGATGACAAGCTTCGATGGGTTTGGGGTGAGTCTGTCTGATGTGGGCAGGGGCTGGGGTGGACCAAAGGAAAAGAAGCATCTCTTTTTTTATTGTTTTTATTAACCAGTGGCCTGGTGGCCACTCTCTCCCTCAGAGACCCCTAACTGCCAAAAACAAGAAACGGGGCTGTGAACACTTGCCAAACCCAAGCCTAAGCTGATCCAGGTATCCTGCTGCAAACAGGCACTTTGTCAGAAGGCCAGCCCTCCCACTTCCTGTTTCCTCTCCAACTAAAAAAAACCTGGCTCTGTCTCTGGAAACAAAACCCCTTTCACATTTGGGGAGGGGGAGAGCAGTGAATTGTGGCTAGCACTTTTAGCTAGGTGAAAGAGGAAGGGAAAACGAAGATGGGATTTTAGTCGAGGACACTGGTTGTTTGGGAAAACAACCCTGTGTCGTGAATGTCCAGTGATGGATTGTTTAAGGTGCCTGTGTGGACACTTTTTAACACGGAAGCATCCAAGCCTGGTTGTCTGGCGCCCTTTTAATGTGCAAGTAAAATGGACAAGAACGTCGCCTGGCTTGACAAAGAAACAGTCTTGGCAGACAGTTAGTGGCATGATTTTAAGACCATGGCCCTGCCCTCTGCCCCTCGTCCGTAGCCCGACCTCCCACCCCACACACATGCATACGTGATTATTTTCATTTGAGGGAAGATCATGTAGCTCTGTAGCTACATTCCCTGAAGTGGAGGAAAACACTCCGATGGGCCAGGCTGGCTGTGAGGTGTCCACGTGCAGAGAAGGAGGGGATGATAGTACTGGTGGGGGGGGGTGACTAGATGTACAGGTTCCTTTTGGTTGTGATGGGACCAGTGAAGTTGTCATTTCTGTGGCTTCAGCCCTGGTATCTTGTATAGTCTGACCATCTTCTGATCTGTGACAACTGGAGCAGGAGCTGAGCGTGACGCTGTCTGTCTGTCTGTCACGTCGCTGGGTCTTCAGATAGAAGCGTTTGCTCCTCAGAGGGGTGGGGACTGGCGTGGGAGTGGTGGCTGAGAAGATGTAAGGATGTTGGAATATATGTTCCATGGGGCTTTCCGTCCCTCTCCTCCGCCGCCCTCGCTTCCCTGCCCTGCTAACCTCCTTTGGCTAAATGGGGCAGCCCCACGGGCTGAGCCGGGCATCGTCGGTGTAGCTGTCAAGTTCTGTCCTACTGCCTTTGACTTGCATTCTGGCTAACCTTGGATTTTCTTAGGGGAAGTTTGATCAGGGTGAGTTGAACATTGTGACTCAGCCGTTGGGACCTGGTGACTGCTGGGACCCTTGTATCGGTGGAAGGTCAAGTTACCAAGCCTTCTCGGTAGCTTGAGAGGCAATGGCTCGGTTTACCTGCCACCTCCCACCTTGGAGGCTTCCTCTGACCTTGCGCAGAAAGATCGGGGACAAAGGCAAGAGTGGCTGATTGAGACAGGAAGCTATCGTGTACAAAGCTTTCCAGAGGAGTTTCTTAATGAAATATTTGTATTTATTTCCAGACCAATAAATTTGTAACTTTGCAGTGGCTTGTGTCTTTTTCTTCTACCTGAGAGTTGGTGCATAAGACATTGAGGTACAGGGTCATGTCTTTCATTAAGAGGACTGCCAGTCCTTGGTGCCTAGGCCCCCTGCCACGCATGCCCCACCACTTGGACTTCTTTGCTTAAGAGCAGAGCTGCTCAGTAGAAACATAATACAAACCCCGCAGGTTACTTTACATTTTCTAGTCCAGAAAACCCAATTGACCTCCAGGCAATGCCAGTTCACGACAGCCCTGCATGTCAGAGTAGAACTGCTCTGCAGGGTTTTCGATGGCTGACTTTTAGAAGTTGATCACCGGGTCTTTCTTCCAAAGCACCTCTGGATGGATCTGAACCCCCAAACTCTCAGCAGCCAAGTGTTTAAAAAACAAACAAACAAACCTTGTTGTTGTGTGCCGTCAAGTCCATTGCAACTCACAGCAACCCCCATGACAGAATGCAACTGCCCCATAGGGTTTCTAAGGCTGTCGTCTTTGTAAGAGCACATTGCCAGGTCTTTTTTCCTATGGAGCTGCTTGTAGGTTCAAGTGGCTGATCTTTCAGTTAGTAGCCGAGCACTTAACCATTGCACCACCAGGGCTCCTCATGTTGTTAGGTGCCATCAAGCCGGTTCTGACTCATAGCGACTCCTTGGCCAACAGAGCGAAACACTGTCTGTTCTCGCGCCATCCTCACAATTGATGCATACTTGAGCCCATAGTCACGGCCACTCTGTCAATCCATCCTGTTGAGGGTCTTCCCTTTTTTCACTGACCCTCTAATTTACCACAGGAGTTCTGCTGGTGCATTGGGCTGCTAACCAAAGCTAGCTGGTTCGAACCCACCAGCCACTCCACAGAAGGAACATAAGACAATCTACTTCCGTGAAGATTTACAGCCTTGGAAACCTGATGAGGGTTTACCAAGCATGAGGTCCGTCTCCAGAGACTTGTCCCTCTTGAATCCGTGACCAAAGTACGAGAGACAACATCTGGCCATTCTTCTAAGGAGCATTCTGGCTGTGATTCTTCCAAGACAGAGCTGTTAATTGTAGTAGTCCACGGTACATTCATGTACATTCATGTACATTCACTATTCCTCATAAAACACCAAAACCAAACTTATTGCTGTCGAGTCAGATCCAACTCATAGCGACCCCTCCTTGGGTTTCTGAGGCAGTATCACTACGGAAGTAGATTGCCCAGTCTTCCTTCCAAGGAGTGGCTGGTGGGTTTGAACCGCCAGCCTTCTGGTTAGCAGTCAGGTGCCTTAGGCACTACGCCACCAGTGCTCCTGCTATTCCTCATACCAAACACCAAACTCACTGGCGTTGAGTCAGATCCAACTCATAGCAACCCCTCGGGTTTCCAAGGTGGTATCACTACAGAAGTAGATTGGCCAACCTTCGTCTGAGGAGTAGCTGGTGGATTTGAATTACCAGCCTTCTGGTTAGCAGTCAAGTGCCTTAGGCACGACGCCATCAGAGCTCCCACTATTCTTCATAGTGAAGCAAAATTACCAAATGTTAAATTGTGACATAGTAACATATGCTGCTTTATTAATGAGTTGAATGGGTCTTGAGACCAATCTCATCGGTATGGTTATTTCAAACTGGTGATGAGCATAGATGGTCTCTTGGAAAATCTGCCACAATGGTGATGAAGAGAAAAATATCTGATTTCAGCTGGTGTTCTTATTGGGGCTGTTCCCTACATTTAGATGGTAGGAAATGCTACATTTCAGTTAAAGCTTAGTGAAAACAAAGATCTATTTTACCCATTCAAGTTCACGACCCCTGACTTCTATCCCTGGATCCCCTGGGCGTCTGTGTGCCCCGGGTTATGAAACTGCTTTACAGGCAGAGGGGAGAAGCATGTTGGTTCATGCTTATTCAACAAACACAAGAAGTGTCTTCTCTGTGTCTGATAAGGTGAGTGGTGGAGGAGCTAGTCAGTGAACACCAGAGCACTAGGCGTGTACATCGCTTTAGGGGAGTGGGAACTGTTGCTGAGACCCGCTGGGCCTGGCGCGGTCAGGTCGCTACAACTCGGGCTTCCTAGAGGAAGTGAACTGTTGCAGGTGTTCGCCTACATCAGATGCTATTTAAAGACCATCTGTTGACAGTCTCTTTTGCCAGCTGGGGATCTATTTCTGTTCTCATAGCTGCTTGTTTTGGTTTTGATCCCCGATCCTTGGGTTTCTTCAGCAGCTGGGAGGCCATGCCTGCACCGAGATCAGCCAGGTACAGAATCGGGAGGGATGGCTAAGCCTTTCAGCTGCCCTTCCTCGGGAACCAGGCCCCTGCTAGAGTCCTTGAATTGGTCTCTCAACATAGCCTCAATCCATCTGCTTAGGTATAGCCTCAATCCATCTGCTTAGGTATTTGTCTTGGGGCTCCTTAGGCTGCATGGAAAGCCCTCAAATGGGCCCCAAGGGCAGAAAGTGTGGTGTGGTCTTTGGGGTTGGAGATGGGATGGGAGAAGGAGCCTAGTGAGCAGATCAGCTGCTCTTCTAACAGCAGATTTCTCTGCTTCCCTGAAGCACAAAATGGAGGCTCTAGCCCAACAACTGATTACGTGGCCTTCTGGCTCTTGGATCCCAAACCAATGGGGTCTTTGTCTCTTAAGGGGAAACGTCTAATTGGCCTAGCTTGATCAGGTTTTCCCTCCCTGCCCAATCAACAATGACTGGGTTCATGCTACCCCTCCCACTCAACACACAGCTGGGGCTCCAAGGAATTCAAATGGCTGTGTTGTGTGACTTGCCATGTCCTTTACACAATTATGGCCATCCGCAACAAAATTCCTTGTCACATGCCTTCCCTCATCCCTGCTCTGAGAAGCATTTGTGGCCCTGCCCTCCCACAGAGGTACCAGCCACATGACATCACCCCTATGGAGATGAAGTCAGTGTGCTTTCAGCATTTATAGTGTCTGTCAGCTCACATGCCCTCCTCCAACTAGACCACGAGGGATTTCTTCTCCTTGTATCCCCAGGGCCAGCACAATGCCCAGCACATGCCAGGAGGTTTTCATTAAATAAACAGACAAATACTTGCTCTACAAACAGTGATATTAGTGTGCATTAGTCTTTCCTTCTTCAAAATTCCTTATCTGTAAGGAAGGAGCTTTAGTGGCATAGTGGTTAAAGTATTGGGCTGCTAACCAAAAGGTCAATAGTTCGAACCACCAACCACTCTGTGGGAGAAAGATGAAACAGTCTGCTTCCATAAAGCCTTGGAAACCCTACGGGGCAGTTCCACTCTGTTCTGTAGGGTAGTTATGAATCAGAACTGGCTTGGTGGTGGTGGTGGTGGTGGTGGGTTTGGTTTTCAGTCATACCAAGGTCCCTGGGTTTGAACTCAAAACCTAACATAAAGATTGGTAGCATAATGCCCAAGGCACTTGACTGCTAACCAGAAGGCTGGCGGTTCAAACCCACCAGCCACTCCTCGGAAGGAACATTGGGCA